TATTTTGGGTCTGCCTAGATAGAATCGTCGCTTTGTTGTGATGTTCTGGTCGTCGATCAGTTGATTATTGTTGTCGCTTGGGCGTGTTTTCTTCGAGGCGAGAGGTATGATGTAGTTGTTAGATTCTGGTATGTATTTTTCGTAAATGGAATAACACATCGTCAGGTCGAGGATAGATTAGAAAGCCGTCGCTGGTGGACAACCCTCTGGTAAGTGTTTTACATAAGAGAGTGTATGTTTAGAGTCGCGTGGGTGAGAGGGTGTGGTGGGTCACGGACTGGGTGGTTGTTGTTTGTGTTGTGGTTGATATTTTGTGGACTGTAGACTGGAGATGTGTGTTTTAAATTTTGTGATTTTAGTTTAGCTGTAGTGTAATGTGGGCGTGATATGTAATGGTAGTAGATGTCTCGCTCGGATGGGTGTGAAGATGCTGCTGTGTGTGTGTGTGTGTTGGGGCAGGAAGAGGCAGACTAAGGGAATAGATATTGTGTGGTAGATGTGTGGGTGTGACGTTTATAAGTCATAGAGTAGATGAGACTGGTGTGTGATGTTGTGTTGTTGTGTGATAGGAGACAGTGATCGTAAGGAGGGAGAGAGTAGTCGGCAGTGGTGTGTGTTACCACATCGCTGGTCGCCCACCCTCGGCCCTCGAGCCCTTAGGAACAGTGGTAGATAAGAGAGTGTGTTTATTGGGACGTACTGTGGTGAGCGGTCAGACAGTGAGAAGTGGGACATATGAAAAATGTTTGGTTGTCGCTGGAGTTGTGTCTGTGGGTAGGTGTTAAAGTACATTATTTTGTAGTGAGTTCGCTGGTGTGTTGTGGGTGGTGTGTGTGTAGTGTGTGGTGTGTGGTGTGTGATGTGTAGCCATTTGTGAGGTTTCGTGATTTACACGTTATGTACAAGGTGTCTATATCGTAGATGTAGTATGTGCTTGTGATATGTACTGATATGAATGATGAGTTGTTGAGTCTGTTCTTGTGTGTGTGGTGTACAAGGTGAGGTGTATAGACCGCTTGGTGCTAAGGGTGATGGGAATGTCGTCAGCGGATAAGTTAAGGTTTTGATGTGTGCATGTGTGATCGAATACATGATCGCTCGCCTCGGTGTTGCCTGATAAGTGAGTAATTGTTGAGTTGTTAGCTGTGTTGTAATAACAGTAAAGACTCATGCTGCTGTGTCCTGTGGTGGATGGGAAAAGGCGTCGGTGTTGGAGAGAAGAGGTAGTTCTGCTGCTGGTCTTGATATTCCGGGTCGGCGCTTTGTGAGATGATTGTTGATTGGTGTTGAATGGATGTTGGGTATGTTTTTTTTTATGTGCGGTGTTGTTATTGTACGTGTAGTGTGTGATGTGTGTGTTAATGATGGAGGATTGTGATTAGAAAATGGTGGTTGGGTGCATATGTAGATACTGGGCTGGGTCTCAAGGCGTGTAGGAATATTATTATCTCGCTCGACATCGATTGCGCGCGCTCGGAGGTTGGGTGGTGGGTATGTGGTCGATTTCTGAACTAGTTTGTGATTGTTTAGAGATTACTCGCCAGGGTGTGTCGCGTCATTGTTGTGAAGAGAGGAGATGTCGAATTAAATCGACTAGACCTCTGTATGCTTTTCCGAAGGTCTGCTGCCTCTCGCTCGCTCGTCTGTGAAGTAAGGTGCCCCCCCTATTGTGTATGGTGTGAGCCTTACGCGACGCTGCTGCGAGAAGACACCTAGATTACTCGCGGTAATGTCAGACTAATGTGTGTGCATTTTGATGGTGTCTGATGTGAAATATCACGAGCTAAAGTAAGTCTGGGGACAAATGTTATGTGTTGGTGTGGCTGTGTGTTGTGATGTGTGTGTGTAAGGAGCAAAGTGGTCCCAATTGGGTTTGGCCCTTATGAAATACGAGGGATCGCCACGTAACAGTTTGAATTTTATTATTGTATGTGTGGATTATAGAAAATTAGGTGTATTTTTTATAAGATGATGTTAGGTTATTGTTCTGGTGGATTGTTTTTATTGGATCTCTTTGAATGACAGCAATGGAAACAACTCCTTACAAACCTGATGATTATTCACGGCCCTATTATGACGGTCGGCTGAAGCAAGGAATACCCCTGTTTAGTCGTGGGCCAGACGTCTATTTCTTAGGGTGGAGTGCGGGTGGCGAAACCGTTGACTAGGACTTTAGACGGGACTTTTGCTCCAAGGTAATTTTTTATTTTACAACACTTGCAGAAGTCTTAATGGACTCTAGGACGCAGATTTTTAACCAATAAGTTATTTTCTGACATCCAGTAAAACAGAGTAAATAATGAATGTGTTAGAAAGCAGATCCTGGTGTTAACACTCACCCTGTTCTCCTCCTGCTCCGTTCAGCGGTAGATTGGCGTCTGGCAGTCTGACAAGTCTGACTTCACACTTTCACTTTCAACTTCCCTCCCTCTCTGCAGCTCCTCCCTCTGTTTCATAACCAGCCTTATCAGCTGAAGCAGTTCACAGATCAGCGAGATAAAAAAAGACATGCAGCTAAAAACAAGCTACACAAAGTTAACAAAAGACGACACAACATCCACACATCAGCGTCCATAGGATATCATTAAATCTGCTTTATATAAAAAACAATGAACAGCGACTTCAATAAAAACACAAAGCTACATTTAACTAATTTTCAAGATGTGCCAAAATCAGGGCTGGAAGAGATTTCACCTCCAGCCAGGGGTTCAATTGGGCCGGGGCTGTCCGACGGTGCTCTGACGTCATCACCCTCGCTCATTTGTCATTTGTTTAAGCCATATGTTAAAACATCTCTCGTTCTTAATATAGACTTTATTTAGGGTCGATATGTGTTGACTTTACTTTAAAATAGTGAAGTCAACACATATCTTTTCTACTGCTAGAAAATCGTTGAGTAGAAAAGATAAAAGTATCAAAGGAATACACAATAGAATATATAAAGAATACATGAAAAATCTCAAGACAAATAAACTACTAAAACAGAAACGTATTGACATAGGTAATATACATCAAAAAGGCTTCAAATGTATTCAGTATTGTGTGAACATGTTTTAATTGGGGTGTGGACGTCACATCCTGTAGGGGGGTCCGGGAAGAAATGTTTGAAAATGTAAAGTAAAATGCTTCAATCTGGTGCACTTTGAGCACACATTACTAGAGACTAGATCTAGGGGGTACAACTCTAAACACCCATATGAAAAAGATCGGTTTACATTTTAATAATCAAATAAGTTTGTGAACATAACCAATAACCTACCACAGCCAATAACAAATCAATGTAACGTATTTTATTTATTTTTGTTGTTCATTAAATCTTATTTTACCTAGTTAACATTTATTTATGCATATTTTTGTATCTCTCAAGTTTTAAACGATATTTTTTATTTTTACTGTCCTATAGTATACATTGAAATGATTTCAAACCTGTTTATCAATAATTATACAGGAGCACCTTGGAAATATGTGTTTACATAAATTGCATTTATCTCTCTCGCTCGCTCCCACGCCCACTTTACAGTAGCTGTGATCTGCAGACGCCTGATAAGCCAACGCCCCTGCACTTTCATCACTTACAGGGGACAGGGCAAATGAAAAGTGTAACCGGGGTGAAAAGGGTGTTACATTTACTTAATTATGAATTTTGTTACATCAAGGCCAAAAATTAGGATGAGCGCAAACAGTCAAAAATGTTTTTTTCCCTCCCAGAGCTGCCAGCGCAGCGCCCCCCAGATCTGGCGCCCTAGGTGACCTCATGCCAAAAACCGGCCCTGTACACCATGCTAAATGTATGTCTGTCATAATAACACAGAATTTGGTGATGATTAAATAGTTTACAGTGAGATTTACTCCCATACTTTTGGCCATACTCACGCAGCCCTACAAATGAATTGAGATTTCCACACAAATGTTCTTTAGCAAGTGTGCAGAGCAGTGTTGATTTAAAAAAGCAATTTGAAGGTTGGATATTTGTAAACCTTTTTTTGTGTATATATATTAATAATTTAAGTTGTAAATGAATTCCAGTTTATTTGTAGTACTTTCTATTTTTATTGTGACATTTGGTGGCATCAATGTGTGCATTTGATACAGATAATGGAGCAGTTGCTTTAGGGCCACAGTGTATACCCCTTAAGGTCAAATAATGAGATCCTCGACCTCCACCCCCCCCCTCTCGCACCTCCACACAGAGCCCCCCCACATATCAAATCCCAACTTAACCCCTGTGTATGACTATCTACAGAAAGTTAGTCCAACACAACATTTACCTGTGATTTACCCATGCTCATCTTGATTAGCTTGACTCGTCAATGTCAAATCTATAGAGCGATTTAAATGAACAAATCCTGCATGAAGTGTCTAAGGTCGTAGAATTGATCAATTGCAACCATAGTACTCTGAAAGTGGCTCCGTGTATCTTCGCAACCTGAGCTTATGGCTCACTTACCGCTTGCTTCGAGCCCCATTATCTCTCTGAATGACAACACCATTAGCTTCACCGTCTGCAAAATCACTGACGGTTAAGATAATGGACTCACAGGAGTCACTGCACCCCACATCATTGAAGAACACTATAAAACAGCATACACAAGTAGGTGTTTAAGAGAGCAGGGCCGTTTTAGCAATACCCGACCGCACAAAATATTGACTGTGTGCATTAAACGTGCACTTAATCCAAATATCTCAATACTTGGATTTAGTCTTGCATCTGAGAAAGAGTATTGTAGTCATTACAATAATGACCTGATTACTTTCGTACTAGTCTTAGGTTTTGAATAATGCTATCGTTGGAGGTGTTCCCTGCAGTCTGCTAATTGGCTGGTTAAGTACTGTAGTACACCTTCATAATTATCCATCCCACTGCTGCTGCTTTATTTAGGTTAATGTAATATTCCTACAAAAGTAATCGTTACAATAATAAATAGCACATTTGTCCACTTTGCGTAGGCACTATTCACATTGATAATTGTTTTACTTTTTTCTCCTTTTCCTCTGGTCAGCCTCTACGACCGTCCCTGAAAAAAAGCGCGGGTGGTCAAGCACCTGGTTCTGTGTCAGAGAGCATCAGTGGAGCCAGAGATGGAGATGGAGCAGGATACGGAGCAGGAGAAGGAGCAGGAGACGGAGGCTTCTCTTTCAGAGACAGAAGGGCAAAGTTTGGAAGACAAACATCGCTCTCACAAAGCATCCGCAGGTAAAAGGAAGAAACTGTTGTTTAAGTCATGTTTATTTTATTTTTGTATTCATGTTGTTCTAGAGTCAATTCTGACCTCTTGGAAATGACCTCTTTCTCTCTGTATGTGTAGGAATACAGCCCAGTGGTTTGGGGTGGGGGAAGACTGTGAGACGAAGCAGCAGGTATGGCACAGGAAGAGCCTGCGCCACTGCAGCCAGCGCTACGGTAAGCTGAAGGTCCAGTACAGAGAGCCTGATACGGCCACCAGCTTCGACCAGGGCCTGGAGTCACCAGCAGCACACAAGATGCCCAAGGTAACCTATGGTCCACAGAAACATACTGTGTTTCTCAAATTACGTTTTCATATCCAGCCAATTATTCACATAGTGAGGTTTTATTCAACATAACTTGTTGAGGAACATCTTTAATATCCTGATTCCAAAATATCCTACCATGGATATAAGTTACAGACACAGCTGTCTGAATCATGGGGTCTTTCCACTCGCTAAGTATTGTGTCATAACATTAACAATGTTCAACATTTATCATTTATGAAGCTTAGAGGTCTCTCTGGAAGAACAGGAGTAAATAATAATGATAGCTTTTAAAGAGAGAAAATGTGTCTGGATTGAATAAAGTAGATAGCTGTGAGGTGACAGACGTGGACCATCTGTTCTCCAGATGGATCAAGTCACTGCCAGCTCTTCTCATTTACTCATCATCCACCATTTTCTTTTCTTTTCTTCTTTATCTCATGCCTACGTTCACCCACGGGATGAGTTTTTTTTTTTTAGCCCCCATTATGTTTTTCATTTGCTTTACACACAAACATGTACACACACGAGAGAGAGTTTGAGCCAAGTTGACGGTGCAAATATTTATTTAATCTCTGTTTCTGGTAGATTGTTGATCCCCTGGCACGGGGGCGGGCCTTCCGCTGCCCAGATGACATGGACAGTCGCTCCCCCAGGACGCCTTACGCCACTCAGGGGGGTCCCATCACCCCGGGGGTCACCTCCCTCAGCTCCTTCACCAGCCAGCGCTCCGGCTACAGCCGCCTCCCCAGGCGCAAGAGAGATTCTGTCGCCCGCATGAGCATCCGGGCCGCATCCAACCTGCTGAAGGTGGGTTGGCTACCAAAAATATATTCTGCAAATACCTTTAATACATGAAATACCTTTAGTGTTTTAATTGTTTTTATTTCTAAGAGGATCAGAACTTATCCCTGAAACATTATGCATGTGTAAAATAACTAATGCATTTTGTTCAGGGTCGTAATGGGTTGGCAGGCTCGCAGACAAGTCGCAGTTTCCCCAAGAGGAGCTTCATCAGGCCCAGCTGGATGGACGATGACACCGTGGACTCTGCAGACACGTCCGAGTCGCTCTTCTTCAGCAAGGTCAGCACACACTCTCCATCCTCCTGTCGGCGCTCTGGCGACAAATTGTCTCTTTGCTGCAACTTTCTTTTGCAATTTCCTTTTTTCTTCTGGTAATGTCAGCAGTCGCACTTCTTCAACACTGTTTCACTTTCACTGTTCATTTCTTATATTTCAGCAACCACTTCTGCCTTGTTCATCCTTCTTTCTTCCTTTTTTTGTACGTTTATATCTAAAATATTAATACGGTCAAACGTCTATCACCCTGATACCCCTTCTTTATGTCAAATCTATTGAAAAATCTGATGTTTGACAGAAATAACCTGTTTATTCTCCGTCCTTGCTTCAGCAGGATCAGGGTGTTGTTGTTTAAACATATGAGGCCTGGCTGCTAATAATTGTTGCCCTCCATTGTTTTTCCCGTGTAGGTCGATGCCCATGGTGAGTTGTACTCTATGGCTGATGACGTATTTGAATCTCCGCCCATGTCTGCAGCTTTTGCTCCCTGCGAGTATCCAGACCAGAAGTTCCCCAGCCTGTAAGTAACTACACAAAAAACGACATTAGGAAAGTCAGAATACTGTTAACACCCACACTCCTTTAGTCCCGAGGGCAATATTTAGAAATCCCTAGTTTTCTCCTTCACAAAAGCCGTGTTGAAGCTACTTATCAGTACTTTCTAGTAACAAAGAAAAGTTACACGTTATGCCTACATACTTTGTTTCTTGTATTAGTTTCCTTCGTATTTGTTCTCCTTCCTAATCTGTCCGAACGCCACCTTACTGCTCCCTTCACAACTAACTCTCTCCCTCTATTATCCTTGAATGCCTTTCTTCCGCTCCAGTAAGGACATTTCTCGAACACCCAGGACACCGATGGCAGGCCACGAAAAGAGCCATCCTCGTAGGGGGGGTCGCATCGCCTCCCAAGTCAAGCACTTTGCCTTTGACAAACAAAAGCGTCAGTACGGCATGGGCGTTGTGGGGAAGTGGCTGAACCGGCACTACCGACGCAGCATCAGCAGCAACATCCAGAAGCAGCTGGAGGACATCCACAGCCATAGGTCGGGAAAAATGTTTCTTCTGTGGGGGGGATTTCTTGCAGTCAAAAGTGACATTAAACCTCCAGAGAGTGGAGTGCAGTGGATGAAAGATACAAGTGATTGTAATTTGCTACAATATGAACAGTTTTACACAAATTTAAATAAATAAATACATTTGTCTTCCATATAATGTGATGTTTGACTCCTGGCCCATGTGTTAGCTTCACTTAATGTATGGTGCTTCTCTGCTGTGTATTTTAGGCCTTACTTTGCCTACTGGATCACGTTTGTCCACATAGTAATCACATTGCTGGCCTGCTGTACATACGGATTTGCCCCTGTGGGGTTTGCACAACATTCTTCGACTGACCTGGTGAGTGAATCTCCAAACTAGATGATTACTGTGAGATACTGACTGAGTTGACTTTTTTTTTGCAATATTGGTTGCATTTGACTAACAAGAGTACACACACATCCTGCTATCTGCACTGCCAAAGTGTTTTTTATGCTGGAATACCTGCTATCTGGGTGCACTTATATAATTTGCTCAATCAATACATGGCTAAATGCATTAAATAAAGAAAGCACACAAAATACCTTCAACAATATGATGCAATCCAATCCGTCACATTTAAGACTCATAACATTGAACAAAGAATTTTAAATGTTTAGTTTTCTGCTAATTGTGCTGTGTGTTTAGCAGATCATTTCCCAACGCTGTCCCTCTGTCGCCCCCTGTAGGTGCTGAAGAACAAAGGCATTTATGAGACCGTCAAGTATATCCAACAGGAGAACTTCTGGATTGGTCCCAGCTCTGTGAGTCTGCTGCTGGTGGTGTCAGTTCAGCTGCTGTATTTCACTATATTTTCACTTTTTTCACTTACAGTAAATTTAGTCTTGGATTATGAAACTTAAGTGAAATGTTCCCTAAATATTGTATGGCAATTCTTACATACAGCCAGATTGTAAAACAAATAAGACATATTCACCCTTTTTCTAAAATGTTCACAGAGTTGTGTATCGTTGGTAACACTACGCGCTTTTTGCCTAAACCGATGCGTGGTTACACCCTCTTAAGCTAGCGACTTTATCACATACTGCATTTCCTGTCACACTGTTGCACTTATCAGGCTCTAAACTTCCTCTGTGAAATGTGTTGCATGTGTTGATTATTTTTGTTTACCGCATGCAAGGTCTCGCTTTATTAAGTTTCAAGTAGCCAGTATTACGAAGAAATGTCTTTACAACTTGTCAAAAGATAGAGAAGTTAATCTACACATAAATAAAATGCACATATAGAACATATTTTTAATTTGTACTACTGTAATCACTTAACTTTGTGTGGGTTGCCAGGTTTGAGTATCTTTAATAAATTCCTCAATTTTTCAGGACGACTTGATCCACCTGGGGGCCAAGTTCTCCCCGTGCATCCGTAAGGACACTCAGATAGTCAGTCTGATCCAGAAGGCCAGAGATCTGGAGAGAGAGTCGGGCTGCTGCGTTCAGAATGATAACTCCGGATGCGTGCAGACCCTCAAGCCCGACTGCTCCGTAAGCACATTATCCTTCAACTTATTTAATTAGCCCTGCAGGATAAGAAACCTTGCTTTGGTTTGAGAAAGAAGTCAGGGAAAGAAAGATTTTATGAATTTGTACAAAAAATTGCAATTGAAAACATCTTTGGGAAATTCATGATTAAGTTAGACGCAGACTAGAACAGCGTACGCTCCTAAACAAACACTTGAATGTCCGATTATAATCTGTAGTTATAATAAGTTATAATAAGTTATAATCAGGTAATTGTAAAAAATTACCTTTTTCAATACCAACATATTTTTTGGGGTAGATCACAATTTGTTGTAAGCTGATATGTTTATATTATTGGTGAGTGCCTTAAAGCTCCAGTGAGACAGATTAAATGCATAAAACTATTAGATTGCAAACGACCAAAACCCAAGCCAATAAATACACCTTAATCCTAAACAATGGGGTTTAAACAGGGACGATTATTATTCTTCTTTTAAAGATTGAATTCCTTTGTTTTTTTGTAAACAAATATTGAAATAAAATCCTGTAATAACTGTATACGCAGGAGACGCTGGCCACGTTTATTAAATGGAAGGATGAGCCAGTGGACATCAACCGGTCGTCTGGTTCTGTCTGTCACCAGGACCCCAGGTGAGATGATGCGTACGTGGTCATTGTGCCACATGATATATGGACAAAAAAATATCACGTCGTTTTCACTATGAATTTTAAGTGAATTTAATGCCAACATTTGCTTGTAATTTAATGTCCTCTTTTGTGTCTTGTGTGTTGCATGTTGGGACCAGAGTGTGTGAAGAGCCCGCCTCTGCAGAGCCTCATGTGTGGCTGAATGACATCACCAAGTGGCCGGTAAGGGGACACACTGCTACTAATATGGACATTTTATTTTCTACACTTACGTTCTTCGTGTCATCAAGAAATATACCAAATGTGATACCACATGTATATTTTGAATTTGAAGGGTTCATTTAGGTTTTTTGTGTTATAGTTTTTATGTTTTTGTATCATAGGTATGAAGTTGTCACTCTAAAATATAAATGAAAAACCTCAATACTAATACCTTAGATTGAGTTTAGTGAGTTTATCTTTTCTTTGAAATCTATTTTAAACATTTTAAATGACATCCAGTTTTGTCACCATATATAAAGTGATGGCTTCTTCATGGCATGCCAAGTGAATGCAGATAGATATGATATTTAATTAGAACAAACTTACGGTACTACAATTACTTTCAGTCCACCCCTATCTCTGTGTAATGGCTTATTGCTTGTCCCTCTCCAGGTGTGTACATTACCAAAGCAGTGGAACCACACCGGCTACAGACACATGGACTGTAAAATCAGGGGACGGCCGTGCTGCATAGGAACGAAGGGCAGGTGAGATGTGTGACCTTTAGTTCTCTGTTCCACCTCTTAATCCGCTGAAATCCCAGAGTCTCCGAGGAAACTTAAATTGCCTTTTGCTTGTCCCTCCTGTAGATGTGAGATCACGACCAGAGAGTATTGCTCTTTCATGCATGGCTACTTCCATGAGGAAGCCACACTCTGCTCACAGGTAGTGTGTGTGCATGAGGTTTGTGTGTGTGTTTCTGCCAGTGTGTTGGTACATTTCTGAACCCATAAGCTTCTCTTGTGCAGATCCACTGTCTGGATGATGTGTGTGGCTTGTTGCCGTTCCTCAACCCTGATGTTCCTGATCAGTTCTACCGGCTCTGGCTCTCGCTCTTCCTCCATGCTGGGTACGCACTGCAACACTCACAAACATCCGTAGACATCCTAAGTTATCATTTTTACAAAACATAGATAAGGCTCTTATTTGTTAGTATTATTTGCTTGTTTTCTGATCATTTAAGTTGAGTCAGCCATTCAAGTATAGATGTCTCTACTGCACATGTAACTTTCAATAACAGCTGAAGAGCCGTGAAAGAATGTATATTATGCTTTGACAAAGCGTTAACCCTAATACGCTGAGTCAGTCATTTTGCTATGAATAATTACTAGGTTTCATTGTCAGCATCCTTCAGGATTCAAACTGAATGCAGTATTTCTAATTGATGCCCCAAGAGCCCGTGAGCTGCTCACTCACGTGAATACTGATACTTAGTGCTAACACGAGGCACGTGGGAAACCCTGCAGGTCTGCTTTTTAATTCAAGCAAACAGGCAGAGGAATTGAAATGGAAAAAGTGCATTGTGTGTAAACGTGCACACTTGATAGAAAAATGGCAAAAAAATAGTCTATCCCAATGAAGGGGATATCTCAATAAATGAAAAGTCCATATGAAATCACCACATGGTAGAGCGTATTTTCTTATACTCCTGTGTGAATGTAATGTAAAAGAGTTCTATGTACTATTGTATTCATGGGTCATGGAGCTTACAAGTTGGAGAAACTGAGTGGTAATGTAAAGTGTAAAATATTGTAATGATATTTCCTCAAAATATTCCACATCAGATTTTCTGGCACTTTTTAGTTATTTATGTGTATTTTATCATCTATTTAGCCCACTCAGTTGAGTAGCACGATATCTTGATTCAGGATTTTCTCAGAATATACTCCATTGAGGTCAATAAATTATCATATTGAATTATTGCCCAGCACCAGCTCAAATACCAGCAGACTGGATGTATGTTAAATTCTGTGACGTGTGTGTGTGTGTGCAGGCTGTTGCACTGCTTGGTGTCGGTGATCTTCCAGATGACCATCCTGAGAGACCTGGAGAAGCTGGCAGGCTGGGTCCGCATCTCCATCATTTACATCCTCAGCGGTATCACCGGAAACATCGCCTCCGCCCTGTTCCTGCCCTACAGAGCTGAGGTCAGTTTTCCTCCGCGCCGCCTCTACATTCGGACTTTATAGCTGCTGAATATGATCTCAATGACCCACATGAACCATATTCCAGCAGTTTCTGATGCTGTCACAAAATGTTTTTCAAAAGGCATAAATATCATATTTTCCATTGTAACTGTGGTCTGTTTGCCTGCTTTCCCCACTCAGCTTACCTTAGATTACCTTGGCTCCCTTACTGGAAGGGAATTTCTCATACTGGGGATTATTCAAGCAGCTCTGACCCCATTTAGAAAGGTCTGGAGGGGCAAAGGAAACACCTCATAGTGTTAACTGTTAAGTGCCTGGAGAAACTGAGCTTAATTGGATAAGGCATTATAAGATTGACAGGGGTCCTTCCAATCAGGAGAGCACTGCCAACCAACCAAGAGCACTGTTCCTCAGGTGGTGTATGTTTTAGAGTACAGCATTCCCTAATGATCTTAGATCACCTGAAGTAAATCCTCTGCTGACATTTACAAAGACTGATCATAGCTTTAAAGTTGAGAATGGATCTAACTTTTTAGGCAGTCATTGGTTTGGCTTCTGTTGGTTGTAACTTGTTATGAATAATTAAAAGAACCAAATCCGGATTTTACCTTCATCACATTAATACATGAAACACGTTTTATTAATGTGGGATATATTTGGATTTTTATGTGGCTAAAGTTGAGTTAGAAAAATTATAATAATCACCTATTATTCCGGTGAAAGCTTAAGCGCCATCATGTTAATTGGTACATCTATCCTCAGTTTAAAAAAAATCAAAGAGACTAAGAGGAGCTTGCTGAATAATGAAATCTGCTGACATATACCTGCAAAATGAAGCTTCATCTGTTATATTTAAACATAGCTACCTTAATTAATCTACTTAATAAAGTGGATTAATTAAGACAGGTCGCTGAGTCAGCTGAAAATAATAAGGTGTGTCTGTACATGGTCTTAAATAGCTCTGATTAATCGATGCTGTCCTCTTTTCCTACATCTTCTCTCACTCTGAATTACTCACGAGTGTTTCTCTGACAGGGAGAAAATATAAGAATGAACCTCAAGATCCCCTGATATTTGAAACACATTCATATTGTTGTGCCCTTATTTCCAAAAGCACCACAAATCTGCTTTTACAACAATGAGTAACCCTACTGTTATACTGTTTCTAATCCAAAATGTAATCTGTGCAAAAACCCACTGTTTAATCTGTGCAAACACTGGACGTGTGAAACAAACTGGATTACCCACTTCTGACTGGCATGCCTGTTCTCTTCATTGTGTCTGTGTAAAGCACACGTTCCCTTTTTAAGGGATTAGTCTTGTGCCATTGTGCGGGTAAAGAACAGCTACTGCACTTTGGACCACATTTATGCAGAATTGACGCTTGCTTTGAGTCTTTTTGGTATGAACATGAACATGAACAAGGACAACAAAAAAATAACCTAACTATTTAACATTGACACACTTTCCCTTGAGTCTTCCCTCTTGTATTTATGTCTTGATGTCATCGAAGCTGTCATTATCTACTTCATTAGCCATCACCAATTACTCTGGTCTGATATATGCGTGGTGTGACATGAGGTGGCTCTCAGTATGACGCACGTGAGAGCCAGAAATCCCACCATGCAGCTCTGCTTAGTGCTGACCAACTCACAGGTCTCCACACACCAGGAATAACCGGACACACGCACACGCAAGGCACAACTGTGGCGGTCAAGGCGCTTAAGGAGGCAGTTTAAGTGGATTATCCTTTAACTGTTGAGTTAAGGTGACTCTGTGTCAGTGTGTGACTGTAATAATTACATCTCACGAGTAAAACAGAACTGTTCCTAAAACTCATAAATTAGTCACACATCTAAAGTGAAAAACTGGATGAGGCTGAGATGTGTAATCTTTTTAAATAAACGCCAGCTTTAGCCACTGAGCCTTTACATGTCATCCCACAATCCCCCCTCTCAACACTCTCCAATTAAAGCTAATTTAATAAACTGGATACGATTAGACTTGGATTATACTTTTTTTCCAGAATAACATCTTAATTTGAATTGAGTGGGTGAGCATGTGCAGACGAGGATAATATTTTCCAGACCATATGAAGTAATGGGTAACGGCGTTAACATTACGAATGAAAACATACTAAATTATAATGTTTCCATTCCCACTTCTAACAAGCTAACTTCTACTAGGTGTCCTCTGCGCCATCCTCTAACATCTGAGTGAGTGACCGCACGGCTGGTGTTGGGAACGTTTTAGTCCTCGGGTCTGGAGTGTGTGGGTGGAGCGCCCGGCCGTGCTCCTTTCCTGTTTGTTCTGTTTGGGTTTAACGGCGTCAAAGATTAGCCATCTGCCTTTGACCAGGCCAAGCCTTCAAACTCAGGCGTCACTTTAATCTGCTCCACTTTATTGCCGGACCACGGCTCGTAGTATAGTTCCTCCACAGAACTAGATGGAAAATAACAGGAGACGCCATGTTGCTAAAACTCTCCTACAGATGTTTCAGTTTAAATAAGAGTTACCTAAATGACTGTCCTGGTAACTTGTCGTTATTGTGTTCTGCTTGGAAATGCGTACTGAACATCGAAACATTATGGATAACTCTGGTTACCAAATCCACTGTAACACATTAAAACTCAATCTGTACATAACCCTGTGTGTTATCTACCAAATAGAGAGTATTTTCATTTTTTTCAGAAGTCAAATAGCTTTTTTTTAAGCAAATATAATTGAACAACAATGCTATCAAACCTGTGAGCATCCTACTCTCATGACAAACTTCCAATAGAATGTAGGAAATTACAAACATAGGTACTCCTCTATTTGATCCTAAAGACCGCAAAACTTTTTGTCGGGACTGAAATCCTTCCTTTGAATTAAATTGTGGGATAGTCTGTAACATGTGTTCTCCTGTCCTCCTCCAGGTGGGTCCGGCAGGGTCTCAGTTCGGACTCCTTGCTTGCCTGTTTGTGGAGCTGTTTCAAGGTTGGCAGATTCTGGAGAAGCCTTGGAAAGCCTTCCTCAAGCTGTCTGGCATCGTGCTCTTCCTCTTCCTGTGTGGCCTCCTGCCGTGGATCGATAACATCGCCCACATCTTTGGCTTCCTCAGCGGCATGCTGCTCTCCTTCGCCTTCCTGCCCTACATCACCTTTGGGACCTTCGACAAGTATCGGAAACGAATCCTCATCGCTGTCTCCATGTTGGCGTACATCGGGCTGGTGTCTTCACTCGTCGTTTGGTTTTACATTTACCCGATTAACTGGCACTGGCTGGAGCATCTCACCTGTCTGCCCTTCACGGGCAAGTTCTGTGAAAAGTACGATATAGACCATGACATTAACGACGTGGTGCACTAGTCTCCATGCTGACCACCAGCTTCTAACTGATGAGTGGGTCAGCTGTCACCAGATCCAGTCGGGAGCCTTTTAAAATGTGACTATCATATTTTTGTTTTTATCAATTCATCTACATGTTAATTAGCTAATGGGCTGGCAGATTCAAAGGACAAGAAAAGACACTTAGGGCGTCAAAATGTGCAGAGCTGGGTTGACCTCAAGGAAAAGCTCTACAGCGCCAGAGACTCTTTGGTTCCTTCAGCTCAAAGTCACATCAATCGAAAGAAGCCAAAATAATCACCAATGGCCTACATAATCCCTTTTCCCTTTAATGCTATGGAGGACAACAGCTGAGATGAAAGGGAGAATGTTCCGGGTCTTCCGGTGTCTTGTGGCCTCGGTGAACTGAAACCCATCAGAAGCTTCCTGCTGCCACTCATTCGTGTTTTCAGTGACACTACAAACGCTGTCAATCAGATCTGCTGCTTCTATACGTTTTATCAATCTTGAAAGGCTTTCAGAGTTCAAACGTTTTAATCTTCGCTCTTTTGTAAGTATGCACTTGGCTTGTTCCTAATTTTTGGAGTTGTGATATGTTAGGCTAATGTTAACAAGGTGTTCCAAGTATTAACTGAAATTGTTAAAGGGAAATATATTTCCCTTAGTCAACTAAGGTAAGATTTCAATCGAAAACCACTAGTTGCCTTAAACAGACTATGCCATTTTACAAAGATGCCTCATTTGACTTTTCCATTCTGCCTGTGATTCACTTACTGAATGCTGATGATCACATGACACCAAACCTACCAAAGCAACAACATCGGATGCTTGTATTGTATTTGCATGTTGTTCTTCACAATCCCTCAGATTTCTTTACGTCCATGGCACATAATGTCTCATATGTGTAACGTCTCATAACACAGTGGTGCCTAAACCATTTTGTATGCTTACTGTAAAATTGCCATGGGAATAATCATCTAAACAGACCGTTTTGTTGAATCCAAGTAAGTTTTCTACTGTAATTTATGACTCTTGAAATGCCAACACTCCTGACGACATGTCATTTCAACTCACCTTTTTACCTTTTGTCTGGAAGCTGGTTGCTCTGGTTTTCAAATCCATGACCCAGGTTAGGTTGTTGATGACAATGTGATAAATGGTTGTCAGAAGTTGTTTACCTGAATTGAAAGATTTCTCCCACAGTTCCCTCTGCTGTTATCTTTGAGCTGGTTTGTTGTTGTTGTTGGCGATTCTGTTGCGGACCGAGCTGTTAGGAAAGCCTGTTGTTGGGGGATTATGTGACTTACTGAGTGAGTTATGAGATTATGAGAGTGTGTCTAAGGGGCTGACTCACTGATTATCTACATGTTGACAACATGAGTTAAGTGCAACAAGGTTATATGTTGGGCAAACACCACTGTATTTAAATTGTAAAGGCCGTCTGTGTACAACATAGGACTCTAGCAGTGTAAATAATGACCCCCACCTCTCTTTAGGAAACCTCTTCACTGTGCCTTTTGACCTGAGTGTTTATCTGAAGAGAAACAACTGCTGTGCTTGCTTTGGGACCAAATATATTCACTCATTCTGATTATTGGAATGAAAAAGGAACATTTTAAATGAACTTCAGGTCATTTTCAAGGTACTGTTTTGTTTTGCTTCAGTTTTATATGTGAAAATATATGTGTGTGTTAACAGTTATGTTAAAATAAATGTCACTATTAAAAATGAGTTTCACTCAGTTACCTAGTGAACGTTGAGGCTGTGTCTGTCATCGAATAATTTTACATTTTCTCTACTTGGCGCCACACCATTGAGACCCAAAAACAGTTGAATTTGTATACATTAAAGTGAGAATAACTGAACCTTATATGTTTGTGAATCTGTTATACAAAAGCAACACAAACTTCATTACAAATTCTTGTAAAAGAAGTATTAAGAAAATGCAATATGATAAAAAGCCTTAAAATAGTTACTAAATGGACCATGTGGTAAGAACAACTGTAAAAAACATAATGACATCAATGCAGACATGCTACAAAATATAACCTTTATTATATGAAGAACAACACTTTGTAAATAAAAACGTGTTTGTCTTGATTCAAGACTCGGGAGGCAGAGGCGGTGATGGTCTATGAGGGGAAAGGCAAGAGGAGGCTATCGAGATCATTTGAAAGCAAACATTTAGAAAACTTAAATACTAAATAAAGTGATTGCATGTGTATATAAATATAATAAAAATAATCACCTGTGTCTAAGCTACTAAATAGAATTATTGTATGATATCACTCCCTTTTGAATCTTTATCTCGTAGGCTTTGAAAGTTAGCTTTTCACTTTGGCAATTCACCTTCAAAGTCATCATCATAGTTAAACAAAGTGTCACATATACAGAAATGTTCTAATGCTGTGGTAGGCATGACGTTTTTACCAAACCATAAAGGGCAGAATGAATTAGTACTGGGCATATACTTAATGACACAATGGTTTCAAAGAGAGCATGAAACCATGTTATATTGGTTAAATAATACATATATAAAAAAAGACGACTAACAAAGACAAGGCCACTGTGTTCTATTGGATACAATATTACATTTCTTAAATTATGAATCGTTAAATACAAAACAAAATATAATAAATAAGTGCTTACATTCTTTCAGGACTTTGCTTTAATTAATTGTCTTTTTTCTTGCAGTATTTTAAGTTTTCAACTATTTTCCACACTGCTGATGTTTGCAACTGGATGGCGGCTCTTTGCACTCGGCTGTCTGCAGACTCACAGTCGGAGCACATTCCTCAGAAGCTGTCTTATGCAAAGTGAGGATCACAAACACCCTGCTGCTGCTGGAATCTGCTCAGATGTCCCATAATGATGTGTCCATGAGGGGATCCAGGGAGAATACACATAAAGTCGATCTGTCCTCAATAACCGCTGTTACGTCGCATGTAGGCGTGGCCCCTGACCGGGAACATCATCTCAATAAATGTAAGGGGTCCCACCGAGATCTCACTGGGGCCCTGCACCTTGAAGCCTGACTTCCTGTAGAAGGGGACCAGGAAGTCTTCACACATGAGCACGGCGCGGCGGACGTAGGGCAGGCAGCGCAGGTACTGCAGGTAGCGCCACATCAGGATGGAGCCTTTGCCCTGCTGCCGGAAAGTCCTGTGGACGGCCAGGACGTGGATGTGGACGGTCATCCCGTGAGGCTTATGGAGAGTGAGGGCATCCTGGGAAATACAGAGGGAGGGGAGAAGCGTAAGAAATGTGGAATTGATGAGAAACCTGTTTAAGTATATACGTACTTGGAAGACTGTGGCCAAAAAGGTAGAGCAGTCGTCCATCAGCCCCTGCTGTCAACATGTCGACCTTGAGCAAGATGCTTAGCTATAAATTACTCCCAATGGTGCATGTGAATGTTTGGTAGCACCTTTTATGGCAGCCTCTGCCTCTGTATCAATGTGTGTGAATAGGGGGAAAGACTGAAAAATCCCTCTTTGAATTAAATCTATTTTACTAAAGAAAAATTCAAAAAGTGCCCAACTATATCTACTGCCTGGGAGATAGATGTTTCATTCAGTCTTAATTTGAGATGGATAAAACATTGTTCCTACCACAATAGAAAACTAGTATGCATTCAAATGGAGAGTTTCCTAATTCAACACACTCAGGATATTCGATGATACAACATTACTTGGACTGGTATGACCAGGTAGCACATCTGAACATTTATGGGAATCTGTGAAACATTTACCCACATCATCTGACTTTCTGAAGACATTATACCATAAATATGCCCCTAAATCTCTCCTGTTAATCTGTTTTGAACCTCGTTCTGCATATTCCCTGCCATTAGGCCTGAGGTAAGTCTCTGTCCAGGTGTCCTGCTTTCTGTCTCACCTCGGTAAGCCTCTCCTGGTCCCACAGTGAGCCGATGATGAAAGCCACCAGACGTCCCCCCTCAAACCAGCCAAGAGACAGCTCAGGGCACAAGGTGAGGAAGTGACGCACCTCGTCCAGGTGGAGAGGACACTCGCCGGACACTGAGATGAAGGCTGTAAAGAGAGGAGAATATTATACATTAAGAAACCTGGAGGACATAAAGTGGGCATAACGTCCCCCTGCTTACATGTGACATATTTGATAAATAAGGGTATGCTGGATCACAGCCAGGGAAGTTATGCAGGTCAAAGACACCTGAACTCATATCACACACACACATTTAGGAAAGATCGTAATGGCCATGGTAACTATATTTGTAGTGGGCCACACAATTGAAGATAAAAGTAAAATATATATTATTTATGGTTATTCATTACAAAGAAATAGATTTAACCCTAACCCCTTAATCAACAATAATTACAAGAATAATCACAGGTCACCCTTTATAATTATACAAAATATAATTTGTTGGCCAGAATTAATCCTATCTATATTTAAAAAAAGTTTACTATAGGAGATACATTGTTTAAAGGTATGTTAATAATGTCTGTTTTTTGTTGAACGTTTAAGAAAAACATGACCTTAGGCTTCTTATTCCATGATACACAATGAATGATCCCAATTTCCTTTACAAGAAAGAAAACGTCCCTAAAATAAGTAACACTTAAGACTTTAACTTAATGCACCAGCACCAGCACTTACAATGGTCTTGCTTGTTTGAAGTGAATATGTCAGTACTTTTTGTGTTGTTGTTACAAGTTGGAATCTTTATGGTTTATTGCTTTGGACAAAAGCGTAAGCTAAATTCGATGTAATGTCCTCCCTGTGTGCGTAACAGAGCATGGAAAAGGCTAACTGCCATAAAGTTATTTAAAAACTTTAACAAGACTACGTGATTTAATTAAGTAAAGCACAACGTGTACCTTCTCTCTCAATCTCGAACACGCTGATGGCATCCTCCGGGCTCAGGGAGCGGAACTCGCTGGCCGGCAGCGTGTGGCGGCGACCCCTCGACCCCGGAGAGGGCATGTGGAGCGGCCTCGTCAACGGAACTGCGCTCATTACCGACATAAAGTGGTGTTTTCCCCCAAGAAAACAAAATAATAAAGTATGGGGGTGTGTACCTGACTGAGGGCCTATGTCTGCTTATCTCTCCTTTAAGACTGCTAGGTCCTCGTCTAGAAGCCTGATCCGTGCGTAAAGGGACTGCGGGTTAAGACTGAGCAGAGAGGTGCGCGCCTTCAGTATTTATACCCTCGGTGCGCAAGGTTATAATCCCCAAGCGAGCTGGATGACCAAACCCTGCAATTCCCCATGAGTAAATCAAACAATAAACATATTTAGTCGGGGTCAGGTGGGATATCCGTGTGGTGAGCAATGAGCATTATCCTCGTCATGCATCAGATTTGCAGCAGATTTGGATTTTACTGATCATGTGTTGGAGGTCTGCTGCGGTTGTTACCATTTTAAGGCCTTGAGGTATGTGTGATGTGATCTCTCAGAAGGAAACTTTCCATAGTCCCTGTAAATCGAGTGCACGTTTTTTCCAGATCTGTGTAAAAGGATTACAGGGCGTGTAGGAGTTTGTTTTTCACCTCTTCAGTGTTATAAGCAACACATGTAAGGAATTTCAAGAAGCCACAGCTGTTTTCCTCTCTTATTTATGAAACTTTTCCACAAAGTGTAACCCTCTTCACATAACTGGAAAGTAGAGTAATCTAGCAACAGAACTATATTTTACTGCATTTCTCATATTCTTTTTATATAGGAGTGGTCCAGTCAACATCAACTGAAAATGTTAGTGGGGTAGAAGAACAAAGTAACGAAACATTGAAATACTCAAGTAAAGTACAGGTCTCTTAAAATGTTACCTAAGTACAGTACTTGAGTAAACTACTTAGTAACTTTACAACACTGCTAAAACTTTGAAATGCTGTTAAAAAATAAAATAATGGCATTTATATCTGGCGAACCATGTGGTCTTTGCATCACAGCTGGAGGCCCACAGTGCCGCTCAGAGGTGACAGACGGTACCGCGCCAGTGACGCAGCTCTCCGTAGCGGCGACGTAAACACGTGCACATCGCTGCTTCCAGGTTACCGTTTTTCTCATTGCACCGTCAGGCTCGCGCTCCAGCATCACTCCCTGACAACAGCAGCGATGGCGGAGCCCGCAGCATCGGATGCGTTGGCCACAGCAGCCTCCACGACCCCGGGCCTCTCCCCGGCAGCCAGCCCAGGATCAGAGCCTCCCTCCCTGGCTCTGTCTCCCACGGCGGACGGCTCCCAGCGGCTGCTCTTCTCCCACGACCTGGTCACTGGGCGGTATCGCGGCACTGTCCGTTTCGGCCTCGTACGGATGATCCACGGTGAGGAGGAATTTAACTCAGACTCGGACCTCGATGACGATGGTGGCGGTGGAGGAGGAGGCGGAGAAGGAGTCCCTGGTGGGTCGGACACTGAGAGCGCTGTGGACATCCCGAGTCGGCCTCTGTGTCCCGGATTTGTCCGCGTCCAGTGGTACCCTGAAGGAGGAAAGCAGGACATCAAGGAGACAAAGGTACCACACACTGGCTAATGTGTTTACACTGAGACCCGGTTATTCCCGGAGCATGACAAGTGTTTTTGAACTGTATGATGTTTTTTGTTGAAGACATGAGTTGCTAGCCTGTCAGGGTTAAGATTAACTTAATCTGCTTTAAACGCATAAACTCGCTTGCTAGCTCACTAGCGTGCTAGCTAGCAGTGTAGCTCATAGCCTCATGTCTTTCAGCTGGTGCTGGCAGGCTAAACAGGGTTGTTGTTCCAAATATCCGAGACCACACAGTAATGCATTAAATAACCACTGACCAGGTAGCATCTATCTGTCTGTAAGTCAAGTGTCACTACAGGTTTCAGCAGGTGCAGCACTCTGCTAC